ATTATTAGGTTAATAAATAGGTATTTAGAAAAAAAAAGAAAATTTTGTTAATTAAATATTAAATATCGTCGTGCCCTAGGTTAGGTTCCCAATAATTTAGAAATAATTTTTGAAATAATTGTAAACTTAGAAATAACTTGTAAACTTAGAAATAACTTGTAAATTTAGAAATAACTTTTAAAGGCCTCTAATATCGAGATATAAACAACCTACAACCCATTCGCTACCACAGTGACAAATAAAATTAGAAAGTATTATATAAGAATTTGAGAGATTACAACATATACAATAAATTAATAAAAAGATACCTAAGATGAAAACCCTTCTCATATATAAAAATATATGAAAAATTTAAAAAGAGTTTTTTTTTTTAAGCAAAGTTGGTTCATAATTTTAAGCAAAATTAGTTCACAATTTTAAAACTGATTTTTAAAATTTACCATAGATCTTTTAAAGAAATACTTTATTGAAACATAAACAATTTCATTTTTATTTGAGAAAGTAATTTCTTTTTTATTGCAAAATATTTTATTTAAAGCAATTTGATGTTATTCTTAAAATAAAGTTTAGCAGCGTGGTGCATTTGCCTCAGAAGCGTAAGACCTGTGGTGAACCACAGGTTCAAACCCTATCTCTGGGCAAGTTCTGACATCGGTAGGGAAGGAAGCGTGAACTTCCTATTAAATGCTGTTCCGCGATGCTCTGTGATAAGACCGTTAGGACTTCTTAGGGCACCTAAAACAAAACAAAACAAAACAACAAAAAAAAGTTAACAAAAATATAAAAAGTAATTTTTGGAAAACAGTAAAATTATCAGGTAAAACAGCTAAGCTAAGACAATCAACTATGAAGACTTTCAAAACTATAAATACATTATATTAAAGTATGTTTTATTGTAATTATATATTTTTTATATTGAGAAACTTTTTCTCTTTGCAACAACAGGCTACATAAAATAATCTATCTTCATACAGATTTCAGTATAAAAAAATCAACTGGGAAAGTAGACAATGTTAAAAAAAAAACAAATAAGTAGTTGCTAGTGTAAATTTTTTTATTTATTCAATTATAAAATGATTAGGTTTTATATATCTATTGCAATATTAGTGCTTTTAAGTCAAGTAAAGATTGTTAATTTATTACAAATTTAGCACAAAATGTTTTCTCTTTTTATGTAGAACAAAAAATTGAATCCACGTAGCGAAGCCAACTACCAAGAAGATTAAAATCTTAAATTGATTGAAAAAAATATATATATATTTTTAACGCTCAAATAATGAAAACCATTTTAAAAATTGTAAACAAATCACAAAAAAAACATTTGAGTTTGTATTTTTTTCATAATGAAACATTTTTTATTATCGCGAGGTTAGAATTATTATGTTCTATCTCCATTTTTTTCCGAACCGAGAAAATCAAGTTCAAAGTTTTAAATGGACCTGCAGGCCAAATAACATAAAAAACGCAAACAAAACCGATTTGTATTAATTTCCTATACAGGCTACCACAGGTTTAAAGAAATTGTTTTAAAATATTCAATGTGCAGGTGTCTGAATTACTACACCCTAATTTGGAGATAGAACAATGTAATACACACTTTTTTTAAAAAAAAGCAATGTTATTTTGTTCTATCTTCATTTTCTGTTAAAATACATAATAAAAGCTAGTATTTTAAATATATAGTGTGACAAAATTTTTGTATATTTGTATATATTGGATATTTAAGATATTTGTATATTTTGGCAATTAAAGTACTGTAAGATACATATCTATTTTATTAGAAAAAAAAATTTATTTTACACTAGTGAACAAGTTACATAAACACGCTATTTTGTCTAAAATTCAATTCAACAGAGAAAATAAGTAATATATTATCTAAAGTATGATGTTCACAACAAAATAAAACTTTAGTTATAAATTTTAAAAGCATATCTAAAAAGCATACTAAAGAACCAAAAAGCAAATATCAAAAATACATTGCACAATAAAAAGATATCTTAAAGAATAATTAGTTAACCAGCACCTCTGGTTAATCCAATAAAAACGTTTCAGTAAGAAGCCCATTTAACAACATAACATATAAAACGTAAATATTTTGACAATAAATAATTTATTGTTTGTTGTAACAATTTAATTTATTAAACTATATTATTTTAAAATACTCTTGTAAAATGCAATATTTTTGTTTACAAATCAATGACTTTCAAAATGTTTCGAAAATAAATTGAGATGCGTAAAAAAGTTGTGAATACTTTTGCAAAAATTCATCGACTTCATATTGCTTCATTGCTAAATCTACAAATCTACAAATGTTCCGAAATCAACATATTCTGCAAATTATACATAAATCTACATATCATAAGATAAATAAATTTAAGATTACTCAAAGCTTCAAAAGAAAACCTGGTAGTGGAAGAAAACATTTTTAAAATTGTTTAAATATATATATATATATATATATATATATATATATATATATATATATATATATATATATATATATATATTATATATATATGTATATACATATATATATATATGAAAGTTTAGTTGTTGTTTTTCTGTAATAAAAACATCCGCTACCAAATTGGCGCAAATAGCTTTTGATTGTTTGATTGGATAAAACGGAGACAGCGCATTATAATTTTAATTTATAAACAGGATTAAGGAGAAAGAACAAAATGCAATGTCAGGTATAGTAAGTTAATTTTTTTTTTTTTTAACTGATTTTTTTGTAAAAAATAAATATTTTGTCCATAAAAAGAAAAAAAATTTACCCAACTCAATTTTTTTGATTTGTGGAGATAGAACAAAATAATTCTAACCTCGCGTTATGTTTGAATTAATTATTTACGTAATTAATCTATGTATAAACTTACTTAACTCAATAAATAATTAGAAACGTATATTATGACCTAGAATATACAAACATCTGTTTTTTTAATAAAATTTTTTCTGTCGCTGAGGGTCTGTAGCCATTTTTAAATTTCTCAAGTTTATAAAATTTCTCAAGTTTATTAAATCCTAAAATCTTAAACCTTAAACTGCGCTTGAGTATAACAACCTTCCGCTTTTTTCTAATATATAAACGTTCGTCTGCATTGGCATTGCTTTGAAATCCAGTTTTTAATTTTCAATTTGAATTCCTTCAAAGATGAAGATACTTTACAACCGTTTAGAACTAAATTCTAAAATTTAGGTCCTAAGTACAATAGGATTCCAAAAACATACATTATTTACAAATATTAGTCGAGTTTGGTTTTTCATATCTCAAGTTTGATTCAAAAAACTTCATTCATAGATATTGGTGTAACATGTAGTTTTACTTTAAAAACCTATGTAACTAAAAGCGCAAGTGTTTTTTGGTGTGTAATTAAGGTACCGCTGTTTAGTAGGAGAGTTTCAAATCGAGACTATAAGAAGATTCAAATTATAAATGCAAAAAGTACCAATTTGCATTGATTGAAAGACATGCAATGAGATTCTTGAAAGCGCGTTTACTTTTTTGCTGGTTTGGAGTTCCTTGGAGGATTTGGAGTCCACATGCTCCAAGGAACTCCTTTGACCAACTTAATGTTATTTAATGTGCAATTTTCTAAATGAAAACGGCATTCTAAAAACATTGTTTAGACAATAATAAAATTAAAAGTACTAGGTGATGTAATTTTCTTGCTTTCAACCCAACGAGAAATTAAAAAACAATTTTTTTCCGTAAACAAACTAATTTCTCTTTACTAAACTAAATTCTTCTTTTTACATAAAAACAACTCTTGGCATAAATACTCTCTACAAAAAAATACAAGTTTGACTATTTTCTTATTAATAATATGAGAAAAAAGCAATTTAAAAATAAAAAACAAATTGATTTTAAACTAAAAAAACACAGTTTTTGGCATGGGTAAGCATCAATTTAAAAATAAGATTGCAATTCCTTTTTTTTTAGATAACTTTATTGTTGCTACAAATAAAAATAAAAAAAGTTTTCACAATATCCTTCTTTGATTGATAAAATAAGCTTTTTACTAGCAGTAGAGACGCTTGTAGTTTTTAAGGGGTACAAAGAGTAATACAAATATTGAGACACAAAGTCAAAATTTCTTTCCGGAATCAAATAGTTACATTTCAAATCAACATAAAACATTTCCCCAATTGATGTTATCGCTTTCCACGTCACTTAAATTGTCTTTATATTTAGCATTTGTTTTGGTTGATGTGGCTAGTTTAATCATCATTGGCTTCATTCCATCAACTCGACAAGAAATTTTGCTGCATACTGATTTCTTTATCTCGTGGCAGACTGGGCACTCTTTAAAACCCTTTACAGCACAAATGCCATTGCAAACACATTTTAATTTACATTTATAAAATTGTTCTTTTTCTTTATCTTTTACTTTCTTTTTTTTCTCTTTTTGATCTTTTTTTTTTCCTTTTTCTAATTTCAATCAACTCAACCTGTTCAATGATGTTTTAAGCTTCCATTGACCCATGTATGTTTGTGACACGTATATTTTTTGTTTTATTCATGTCTTTTGGCTTTACCTTGTTTACTGTAGGCAAACCTGGTATATCTTCTAGAATTAAACTTTTTTCATAACTTTCTTTCATAATCATCTGCGACTGCTCGAACATAAATTTCCAATAATTAGCTGATCCATAACGATGATTTGTTTTTGCTAATTCGGCAAATGAATGTGGAGTAATTGGTGTTAACAAAACATTTGCTAATGAACGTGTGCATATTTTCTTTGGTGTACTTAGAACAAGATTGCTAGAAGGCTCTTGTTTTTGATTTTGAACAGTTTGGAGCCTGTTGAAATTTATTTTGCTGCATATTATTTACATTTAAACCTTCTTTAGATATGCCAACTCTCTTTGCTGCATTAATTATGGTATCCCTTGAAGCCCATTTATCCCACATTTCTACTAAAATTTTCATGAAGCCTTCTCGGTTTATTGTTTGGAAAGTTGTAAAAAGTTCATCTCTTTTTTGTCATATTCACGATGCATGTTTTGATTAGGACTTTGATCCAACAGTTGAGTAACCCCAGTTGTATAAGGAGGACTTATAAACAAGTTAATTTTTTTTTCATGGAGGAAATGTAGAACATTGTCCATCTGCTAGCATTACAACAGGTCGTTGTATATTTTCTTCTGACAAATATATATCAAACTTTTTGTGTAGGTCCAATAAAGAATGGTTATCCTGGCTTCCTTTTTCAGTAGATGATATAATTAAATTTTTTATATTTTTGACAGCTGTTTTTGGGGCCATATGACTTGTGATACCTTTATCAGCAAAAATAACTTGTGAAACAACAATTTCGCCTGAAATGTAAAATAAAAAAATATTACTTATGATTAAACCTATACTTAACATAACCATGGGGATAAAAACATTCACTAAAAACAAACACTAAAACGATTGACTAATACTTCTTTAGTGATGAAAACATAATTGGTTGTTTTTTTTCTTCAGATAAATGCAAACTATTGCATAGGTACATTTACATAAATAGCTTGTGTTATTATTACCTGCTAATGAAACAACTGGGCATATTGTTACTGATTCACGATTCTCCCTAATTATTTTTCTGCAAGGTTCCCCACGTGCAACATACGCGAGCCCGGAATTTGTTCCATCAACCCCATAAGTTATGAACTGGGGTGTTTCGTCAAAAATAAAAATTCTTTTTGTATCAATATCACCCCTCCACACACCAGGTTCAAGTTTTTTTGAGTTTGTGAAAATCTCACATTTAATAAGTTCTTCAGTTAACGAATCTAAAAGATAAATTCAAAATGTTTTTGCTAGTACACTGCACCCTAGGGCTAATCTAAGACATTTATATATCATCGTTTTAATTATGGAGCATATCAGCAAATAAAGTACAAAAATATATTATTAATTATTTCCTTACCTAAATGTGACTCAGCCATACCCCTTGTGCAATTCAATGCCTTGTTAATAGGTACATTTCCTTGTCGTTTTAGAACTAAGCTATGGTGCTCTGCTTTCCATCTCTGCCAAAACGACTGGCCAAGCCTATAATAAACTTAAAACTTGGGTTTTCCAACAACAAAAGGTTCTTTTCTCACTTTTAAAATAAATTTTGGTTTCCCCATCGCAAAATTACTTATTGTATTTTTATCTATAAAATACATATGGTATAAAACAGTTGTGTGCATAAATAAACTTAAGTAATATTCCTAATAAATAAAAATATATTATCTGAGTGCCCTATATGTTAAACTATCTACAAATTTTAATTAATAGTAATCCCCTAATTACAGTATATTAGTATTTAGTTGTAATTTGTAAGGATTTATTTTGTAATTTTAAGGAGTTTTGGGGTTGTTTATGTCTTTTCGTTTATAATAGATTTACAATAATGTGTGTACCAATACTATGGCCCGAAAACAAAATGTTTACAAAATTTTGAGGGAACCTGATCAACGGCTTTAAAATTATAAGCAAAAAACCTGATTGCGGTTTTTAAGGGGTAACAATTAAAAAAGGCGACTTTTCTTTCAATCACAAAACTTTACTAAAAACTATAGATTAAAAAATAAGGCCAGGGAAGACATTCATTTAAAGTAGTTTTTAAGTATAGAAAGTTTCAGCACTTCAGAAGTTTCCAATATTCAGTTATAGGGTACCACTTTTTTTTGTAGTTTTTAAGGTGTACCTACCTGTAACAAAAATAATTACTAATGAAAAAAAAATTAAACGAAAATCACATAGTCGTTATAGAATGTTTAATTTGGTCTTGAGAGTTTAATTTGATCTTGTATATACAAAAATTGATTTGATCTTGATATACAAAATTGTACACAATCTCGTCGACATTTTTGTAATCTCGTTCGACGTGAATTGTACACAATCACGTCGAAACTTTTTCCAATTTAGTGATTACCTGTCTCACCTTTTTGTATTTAATTTTAATGCAAACAATTATTATTTTTATTATCTAATGCACTCAGCGCAAAAAAATTAGTTTTAAACTTTTATATATATTGGGAGTATAACTTAATTCGTGTGGTTTTCTAAGAGATGACGTTACTAGTTTTATTTCGCATCGTAATCATATATGATTATATTCGCTTGGAAGCTACTGCCATTGTTCATCTTTTTCAGTATATGTCATTTGGTTAAGGTGGTTATCAGGTAAAAAAATAGCGATTTTTGTGAAAAAATGTGTTTTTTAGTTTATCAGCCAACTTTGTTTAAAATTTAATTGGCTTTTTAACCATATATAACATGATATGGGTTAATTAATAAAAAAATGTAAAAAAATTGTTTTAGTTGGTAAGAGTAAAAAAAATTTACTTAACAACCGCATAGCAACCAATAATTTTTTATAGATATATTACCCAAAGACCTAGATTTAAACAATTATTTCTTTTCATGGGTCTGTATAATTAACTAAACTTTTGAACCAGAGTTATTTTTAGCAAAGCCGTATGTTTTGATGTTATTTGTTAAGCAGAAAGAAAAAAGTTTAAAGTTGCCTGGATGGCGCAACACAAAATCCAAATGAGGCTTTCAACCAGATAATCTGGAAAAAGTGTCCAAAAAATATTTTTGTTACTAAAAAGGTACTAGATCTTGGTGTTGCTTCAGCTGTAATAAATTACAATGATGGTTTGAGAGGTTTCACAAGAATTTTTGATTATTTGCAGCTCTTGCCTGGAAGTTTTATGATCCAAGGATCGTGGAAGAAGGACGTATCAAGAGTAAAGAACACGATTAAAAATTCAACTCCAAAGCAAAAAAGGGCTAGAAGGAAAAGGAGATGTATCAGGAAGGGTTATATTGATAAGGAGAAAGAAAAAGAGGGAGTAGACTCTTATATTACAGGAAATTTTTAATTAATAAATTGTTTTTAAACTTTGAAGCTTGATTTCTCAATTGTTTGTTTTTGCCTGACTGCAATAAGCGAATCATTCATATCTTTTTAACCAGATATGCAATTGAGTTCAAATTTTCAGGGTTGTTTCTTTATAGATAGAACTGCAATAGCTTACTAGAACTAATCTTAAGCTTGTTTCCATTTGAATATATTCATATTTTACCTTTTTTTTTTGTATCAATAATTTCCGTTAAAATTGAAAAAGCTGCCATTTTAAAAATAATAATTATTTTTAGTTTTTCTAGTAAGCTTTTGTTTAATACACTATAATCTATCAGTGTTGTAAGTTTTGGCTTATAATGTCATAAAGAGGCTGAGAAAATGTTGTTTTCTTTTTTCATTGATTTTTTTGCATTTTATGCTGATTCAGCAAAAAAAAAAAAGGAAATTATTTTTTTTTTATCATTTTTAATTATATTAATAAGTATGTTTCTTTTAAACTAACTTTGGTATATGATTAAGTTGGCAATCAAAAAATAATTTTTTTACCTGATAACCACCTTAAAGCATAAACAACAATTTTTTTTATTCATTCGGAACGTCGAACTTTGTGCCAGATAAATTCTTTTTGCGGGGTGTTCTTCTTCATTACTTCAATATGAAGAAAAGTGCTGCCAAAAGTCATTGTATTTTAGTGAAAGTTTATGCCAATCATGCTCTAGCTGAAAGAACGTGTCAGAAGTGGTTTGCAGGGTTTCCGAGTGACAATTTCAGCTTGAAAGACGAAGAACAACGCGGACAACCAAAAAAGTTTAAAAATGAAGAATTGGAGGCATTGCTCAAAGAAGATTCGTGCCAGACATTTCAAAACGTTTAAAAGCATTGGGATTCATCCAAAAGCTTGGAAATTGGGTGCCGCACAAATTAAAGCCAAGAGACGTTGAAAGGCGATTTTGCATGTCGCAAATACTGCTTGAACACCATCAAAGGAAGTCGTTTTTGCATCGGATTGTTACTGGTGATGAAAAATGGATTCACTACAATAACCCTAAGCACAAGAAATCGTATGTGAAGCCTCGCCAACCATCAACGGCGAAGCCAAATATTTATAGTGCAAAGGTAATGTTCTGTATTTTTTGGGATCAGAAAGGAGTACTTTATTATGAGCTGTTGAAATTGAGCCAGACAATCACAGGGGATTTCTAATGAACATAATTAATGCGTTTGAAGAGAGAAATCGTGGAAAAACATTCAGAAAAGGTTGCGTCAAACATTTACTGTTTCACGAAACATTTACTGTTTTGCATAACATTTACTGCGACATTATATTACAAATTAAAATATTTAATATATAAAAAATAAAAATGAGAGGAAAAGGTGCCATAGTCACGGCTATATAAAGAAAAACAAAATAAAATATTCATTGTTAAACTAACTTTATTTTAAAATTAGGTAATACCATTTTAAAAATGTTCTTTTGCAAAATATGGTCCGGGTTTTATGAAATATTTTATTTAAAATGTTCCTTAACTAAAGTGTTCTAGCTTAGGGGTTATAATAATAGAATATTTTTTAAGATAAAAAGCTATTTAAATTAATTTGAAGAATGAAGTTTTAATTTTAAAACACCAAATAAAAACCTTTAAAATAACTTTTGCGGTTTTGTAGTCTGATAAATACTAGGGGTGTACCGGATTGGAAATTTTGAATTCCGACCGGAAGCGGATTTGCAGGAAATGTTTAAAAAAAATTTATGTATACATATATATATATATATATATATATATATATATATATATATATATATATATATATATATATATATATATATATATATATATATATATATATATATATATATATATACATGAAATATTTACTATAAAAGTTAAGAAACATTAAAAATGAGGCTATTGTCAGAGGCTGGTAAAATTTTTAATGGAAAAAGAGATTGTTTGTTGCCCAAAATTGGATAGCAACTCTTTTTGCACCACAATATTCCTAAACTTTTAGAAACCTTTACATGGGCTGGATATGGATTGTGTTGCTACATCGACTATCTTTTAGCCTGCTTCTACAAGGAAGTGCTTCTACGTTGACTGAGGATTTGGCATAAGGCAGCAATCTTTTTTTTTTATTGTTTCAATTAAAATTTCTAATGTTTAAAAAACCTTCACTAACGAGAGCGCAACAAGCGAAAAAAAAAATTATTTTAGAGCGCTTAACTATAGCTTTACTTAAAACTGTAGCTTTACTTAAAATTACATTGTATTTTTTTTTTAAATTTTGTGTTTTTTACCTAGGTTTACTCATCGTTCTTCATTGCCGTGTAGGACAATGATTTTTTGATTTAATTTACACAGTTTGTGTCACTTATCTTAAATAAACTAAAAAATAAATTCCGGAATTCTGGCATGAAATATTATAATTCCGACCGGAACCGGAATGACCTGAAATTCATATTATAATGATATAAGCGGAATCACCTGAATTATATAATAATTTCGGCCAGAATTCTGGTACATCCCTAATAAATACATTGTTCAAAAATATTCTTTTCTATTTTATTATCTTATGATCACTTTTAAAACTTTATTCAACAAATAACTCAAATTTTATTACAAAATTTTTATTTACTTTATATAATATGTAGAAGTAGCACTAAATTAGTTTAAACAAATAAAAATACCAATTATGCATCTCACTGTAAAGTTTAAATAATTAAGAATACCATTATGTATCTCACCGTAAAGTTTAAATTTAGATTCAAAATTCATACAATATTTTTTTGTGCTAGAATTTTTGCAACAATATGTTTATGAAATCTTCTTTTCCAAAAATAATACAATCAGATTTGGAAAAAACGTTTTATAAAACTTTTTAACACTTTGTGAATGGGGAGAAATATCTGTGTGGTTATATCTGTGTGGTTTAACTTTTTTCGAGAAAAAAACTTTTATACTAAACCCTCATCAGTAAAATTTTCAGTTGTTGCTGGTTCATTTATGTCTTGATTAAAATATGTAAGAGCTCATATATGAACATAATTTTGAATATATGAACATCATATTGAATTTCTGGAATTTTATTTATTTGGTTTATAGTTTGAAAAACCTATGATTTGGTTTATAATAAAATAAATGGTTGATACAGCTATGTGCAACTTGTTGCTCTTTTTATTGCAGAACCGTGTAGGAGCATAAAACAATATAACAATATAGGTTATCAAAACAATCAACCTTCTTGTGATAATACTGGCACATATAGTGATATCATTATTTAACTTTATAACCTACAAGAATAATTAAGACTAATCATCTAACTTGACTATTAAATACTCATATTTACTGCGGCAAATTCCATACTACATTCTTATATAGCCATTGATCATTACTTACAATATCAGTAATTGGATATTTAATAACATTAAAACAACTAAATAAAACTTGTTTTTGATAATAACTATTTTTCTTAATGATCCTACCAAATGATTAGGGGACTTAGTTGCTCCATCATATGCTGTGAACAAAGATTTAAAGGGAAGCTCCTTCTGAAGGTTATAGCCTATAGTGTGCAGTTTTTGCCCGCGTTTTTTTTTCTCTACCTCAGATATTGTTCCTATCTTATGTTTGTTGAAGTATTGTCATACTCGTCAAAAACTTCACGGAGGCTTTGAGCTTGTTTATTTCTTGTTTATTTCTTGTTTATTTCTTGTTTATTTCTTGTTTATTTCTTGTTTATTTCTTGTTTATTTCTTGTTTATTTCTTGTTTATTTCTTGTTTATTTCTTGTTTATTTCTTGTTTATTTCTTGTTTATTTCTTGTTTATTTCTTGTTTATTTCTTGTTGCTGCAACAAGAGGTTAAACTTTGAGAGTTAGATACTCTCCGCTATTAAGGTTATATTCTCCGCTATTAAGGTTATATTCTCCGCTATTAAGGTTAGTAAATATTTCGTTAGTTACACTCATATGCAGTTCTTTTTCTGTAGATCTCTTTAGTACAACTTTAATATCTTCTATTTTTATTTCTCTTAAAACTAAAGTTTCATAATCAGTTTTACCATCAACACTAAAGCAAATAAGTTCTGTGTTATTTTAAATAAGTCCAATAAAACTTTACGCATCTCCTTTTAACTGTCTATTTCGGATTTGTCTATAACTCAAACAGATGTAATTGTTATGTCATTAAACGGCTCTGAAAGATCAAGCTTACGAGCATTCTTGTGCATCTCTAATCAAACTTTATGTACTATATTAAATCAAATCAAAAGTATACTTTGGAAGCTTCTAAAGATTGTTAACTCCTGATGATTTTCTTTCAGGCTTCATATCTATAAGAAAAGGTGTACAGTTATGTAAAAAAAAAATTTTTGTTCAAGAAATGAACTTAAAATTAAAAAAAGTTACAAGTTTTAACTAACTGACTTGAATTTAATGCATTCCATCGAAGTAGAAACACGAGTTTCTACTTTTTAATTCAAAACTCAAGCTCTAGGGAGTTACCACATTAGAGCTAAAGCTAACAGATTTTATACCAAATTCTAATAATCCTACTTTTTGGAAATTTGTTGCTTCTTGTTACAGTGATTGTTTAAAGAAAAAAAGAGTTTCTAGACCATTCATGATTGTTTCTAGACTATTCATAATTGTTTCTAGACCATTTATGATTGTTTCTAGACCATTTATGATCAGTTAAACCAAGTTGAAATAATCCTTTTGAACCTTTTGGACCAATATACATGTATATATATATATATATATATATATATATATATATATATATATATATATATATATATATATATATATATATATATATATATATATATATATATATATATATATATATATATATATATATAAATTAGTAAAAAATCACTTGACAAAAAAAAAGTTAAGTGATTTTTTACTAATTTATAATTGCTCTGTTTTTTTAAGAACATTGAGCACTCTATTTTGTAGAATACATTTTTTAAAATTGTTTAAATATCTTAAGTATCTTATGGTTAACAGTGTCAAAGGCTTTCGACAGATAAATAAAAAA